CGCCCCGTGGTCCTTCAGGCAGCCCACGATGCGGTTCTGCAGCTCCTCCACCCGCTTCGGCTCCTTCAGCCCGTGGCGGTCTAGGTGCGGGGGACACAGAGGCGTGAGGCCAGGGTGACGGCCGCAGGGTGGGGAAGGGGAGAGCGGCGGGGGGGGGGAGTGCCTTGGGGGAGTGCCTCACCTGTGATGATGACGAGGGCGGCGAGGCAGGAGAAGGAGGGGATGTCGACGCTCATGCGGTGCAGGCTCTGGGAGAACTCGAGGATGGCGTCGATCCACTCGCCGAAGCCCCGCACGCACTGCAGGCGGTGCAGCACCACCCCGTTGCAGAAGATGAGTTTCCCTTCCTCCGGCTTGGAGCTGCGGGCACAACCACGCGTCACCCCACCGGCACGGCCCTGGGCTCCCCGCCGCGCCGTGCCACGCCGTGCTGGGGCTCACTGGTACGCCAGGCGCAGGATGAAGAGCTCGAGGAAGGCTGACTCCATCAGCAGGTCCTGGTCCTCCTTGGGCAGCTCGGCGAAGCCCTGGATCTTCTCAGCCCACTTGCGGATGACGTCCATGGAGCCGGTGAGCAGGTCGTAAAACTGCTGCACGTCCACCGAATCCTCCTTCTCGAACTGGCACGGCGCCGACTCCTGGAACTGCCGCGAGGACGGGGTCAGGATCCGGCCCTGGCACGGCCCCGGGGAGGGCGCGGGGTGGTACCAGCCCTACCTTGGAGTAGTCGAGCTTGGTGGCACTGGGGACGGAGTCGATGTGTGCCCGCACCAGGGAGGTGATGAGGCTGACGGGGGATGCGTCTGGCGGCTGCTTGGGCTTGGAGGGCAGCCGGCCCCGCCGCCCCTTCAGGCTGTCGGTCCGGACCACTGCGGCGAGGGACATGCAATGAGTGTGTCTGTCCTCAGTGCAGCCAGGAGGGCTGCGGAGGGGGCCCCCCCTCCTGCTGGGACCCCCCACCCCAGGATGGGACCCAGGTACCTTCTTTGACCATGCCGACGGCCAGGCACTTCTGGAAGCGGCAGAACTGGCAGCGGTTCCTCCGCCGCTTGTCCACGGGGCAGTCCTTGTTGGCCAGGCAGATGTACTTGGCGTTCTTCTGCACTGTGCGCTG